AAGGATTTCTCTTTGCAGGCCTATAGATAACATTCACAATACATTTAGAAATAACATGTAACAAAAGAAACGGGTTGGTAAAGTGTGATTTAAAAGTGGGAAGATTGTAGATGCATACTAAGAGAGATACAAGTACAGTTCATGCACTGACAGCTTTGGTTGATTTCTAGAGTAAAGTAAGTAAAAGGTTTTCTCTTTTTGCAACTTTCAGAGGCATCTCTATTAAAAGCCCTCCTAAATATTTTTTAAACAATAAAAAGAATGTTAGTGCTGTCTGATATTAGCACTACATGGGGGAAGGTACAATCTATTCTCTAGTAACCATGACAGAAATGACATATGGTATATGCAGAAAACCCTTGCATGAAATGGGACCTAGAGCATTTAGCAAACTGCATACATAGATGGATTTATAACTCTTATTTTTGTGATGTAACACTTTAGACCACATACAACCTTGTGGCTACATCAAGACTACATCAGTACAGGCAACACTCCTAAATTCCTGGACTAGATACAAATTCCAACCAGCCACTCTCCATCTTGATCTAGTGATGGCAGGGGGGGTTGGGACTAGATGATCTGTAAGGTTAATTCCAACCCTTGAATTCTATGAATCTATGATCTTCAGCTTAGGGCAACAGCTAATGGAGTGGTACAGAGTATGGGGTATAGACAGGAACAGGAGCACATGTTGATACCTCGAGGGCCAATGAGTGGGAGAACAGTAGCTTGGAGCAGGTCACAACAACCACAGTCACCTGACACCTTCTTGCTCAGTTTACCTGAGATTATTGATTTAATTCAAAATGATGCAAATAAGCTACTACTCAATATTGACTTCCATAAGAAGTGTACCCGAAGTATGGATATAGGCAGTATGATGATGCTTCTGCCACCCTTCTTGCTTATTTGGCATGCACAGATGCTGGAGCAATCTGTTCCATTAAATGTGTGAAGTAATCTGCTCTTCTTACACCAAAGCAAGACCATATATAAGAAAATTTGACAGTCTGCATCATGGGTTTTGTCTGATGTGCTCCCTGTGCTCTGCGAGGTGCAGCAGCTGCACATTGCCCCCGCTCTGCACGGGCAGGACTGCACAACCCAACGCATGGCTGCCAGAATGTACTCGTGTACAATAAAAGTACAGCCTTCTTCTGCTCCATTTTACAAAAGAAAAACACATATTCTAGAATATTGCAATCCTAAAAGGGACAGAGTATCTTCCACCACACACCAAGGCCCCTTACCTGCCATATTCTGTCTTGGAAATGGCAGCCAATAAGCACATTGTGTGCATTAACTAGAGCTTTTCAGGTTTTGATGTTAGAGCAACAGCAATTTAATTGTGTAGAGGTAGAAAAGGGAGAAAAAAAAAAGGGGAAAGGAAAAAGGTGAAAGGGGGAAGGGAAGTATGCGTCATGCTTGATCTCATATGACATGTACAGTACACAATGTATAATTCTGGCTTTCTAATATGCTACAGATATTACAACTATAACTAATATAACTATTTTTATTGCTTTATAAATTGAACATGTATGGAAAATCTATTGAAGTGGTTCTGTGTTTCAGGTGTACAAGGAAATACATTAATTTTACAAATGACATTCCTTTTCTGCAAGAATTTCCACCGGTACAAAAATTAAATATTGTAATGTTATACTCATATCCATTTACACAGTCTTCTAGTTATGTTATTATTCCCTAAACCTAACTATTGCAAAAGCATTCTAAGTTATACATTTCATGCAGTATTGAAAAAGTAGCCAAAATGAGTAATGAAGCTAAGAGCACCAACACACAAAGAATACTTTTGACTTTGTCAAAATTATTTTAAAGGAAAAACAAATCAGTGAAACACCACAGAAACAGGAACCAGACAAAGCAAATAATAATAAAAC